AAATGACAATCTTACCAAAAGCAATCTACAGATTCAATGTAATCCCCATCAAAATCCCAACACAATTCTTCACAGACTTGGAAAGAACAATACTCAACTTCATATGGAAAAACAAAAAACCCAGGATAGCCAAAAGAATCCTGTACAATAAAGCAACCTCTAGAGGCATCACGATACCTGACTTCAAGCTCTACTATAGAGCTACAGTAATAAAAACAGCTTGGTACTGGCATAAAAACCAACATGTGTACAATGAAATTGAACTGAAGACCCTGACATTAATCTGGACACCTATGAACATATAATTTTTGATAAAGAAGCCAAAATTGTACCATGGAAAAAAGAAAGCATCTTCAACAAATGGTGCTGGCATAACTGGATGTCAACATGTAGAAGACTGCAAATAGATCCATATCTGTCACCGTGCACAAAACTGAAGTCCAAGTGGATCAAAGATCTCAACATAAATTCAGTTACTCTAAACCTGATAGAAGAGAAAGTAGGAAGTAGACTTGAACACATTGGCACCAGAGATCACTTTCTAAATATAACACCAGTATCACTTACACTGAGAGAAACAATTACTAAATGGGACCTCTTGAAACTGAGAAGCTTTTGTAGGGCAAAGGACACAGTCAATAAGACAAAACGTCAGCCTACAGAATGGGAGAAGAATGGGCTTGCTTTGTTTTGACTCAGACTGGAGAGTAAGGATGTCTCTCTCGGCTAATAAAAGAGATGCTGGGATCTAGCATCTGTAAGAAGATACATATTTTTTTGACATTTTTCTTCTCAAGTACTATGAAGTTTAACTAGCTTTAAGCAAAAGATATTTGGCAGTAAATATTTTACTTTAAAGTCACACAATTTAAGTGATTACATACACACTGAGGACAGCAATACAATATTCTAAAGTAGAACCCACACATTGCATGATGTTCTATAATCTACCGAAGTTTAATTTATTCAAACATTCAACAAATATTTATTGAGCTAACAAGTGAAAGGACCAAGCAGATGCCATAACAGGCTGCTCAGTCTTCTCTCAGAGATCAGGCCTCAATTTCAGTTTCCTGAGACTTGAGCAAGCAGTTTCTGGTAGGGCCATGAACAAAAGACATAGTCTTTACACTAGCTCCCTTTCTGCACGTATTCTGACTGCTCAAAGTTCAGCCAGTTGTTTACTGTCTGGGACCCCTCACCAACTTAGAGCTATGTGTGTGAGTCAAGGACAGAGCCTGGACCACTGAGCCAGCCCCCACAGTCAGTACGTGCTAGGCCAGCCAGCCCCCATTGCAGCTCAAGGACAAAGCCTGGAACTTGTCCCGGACAGCCCCCCAAATGATAATTGTAACCCCCAACCAATAAATTCAAAGGTTACATACCCTCACCCAATTAAAAGAGACCAATCTGAGTTGCACCTGTGCCAACCCCCCACAACTGCCCTGAAGGACTTGTGTTTTTGCCTTTAAATAGCTAGTCTCACAAAGAAAGAGCAACTCCTCCCTGCCTCACTGTATTGGGTGTAGGAACGAGTTCCCTATCTAGGCTTGTATCTATAGAATAAACCTTGCTGTTTCATTCTGGACATCCACGGTCTTCAGTGGTATCTTTGGGGTTGCAATATGGGCATAACACAAGTAGGCTTCTGGCATAGGGCTATATATGAGTAATGTAATGAGAAATAAAGATTTTTTAAAGTTCTTATAAATTATATTGCAAAGATGGGAGTTAAAAATTTGCTCAAATTTAAAGTTACAAATGAAGACAAGTCAATGAAAAAGGAGGACCTTCTTCAAGCCTATGACCTCATATGGCTCAAGGAATGATTTTCCAGAGGATGCAGTATTTTACTAGACATCAGTGGTTGGAGGATGGTTGTGTGAGAAACACAAAAGCAAATGCCTTTTATCCAAGGGAGGTGAAGGCAGAGGGCAAAGCAGAGAATGATATGAGACAGGTAGAGACCTAAAGCATACAGAAAGTTTAGAATTAGATAACTGGCCAAAAAGTCTAGTCTGTGTCCTGTAACACCTGCAAGCATCTGTTTCCAGTAGGGAGAGATAATTTGGTATAGGGTGGCTCATCAAAAGTCAGATGTGGCTGGATTTTGTATAAGGGAGGAAAACAGTAAGAATGAAGAATCCTTCTGAAGAGCTTGGCTTTTGAAAAGGAGAAGAAAGAGGTTTAGTGTTAGGTGTGTGAGGACCTGTGGAGTAGAGTTTTATTTTCAGGCAAGACTGACATCAACATTTTGCAATAATAACAGATGTATGTAAATGAGAGAGTTTTGCTATACAAAAGACATTTAGATTTCTCCAAATACGGGAAAAAAAGATGTCAAGCAGCACTGGGAAGAACTAGCTGGTCAGCTTAAAAATTTGGGAAAGAGTAAAGTAGGATAGCAGTTCTCCTGAGCTTGTACTTATGAAAATGAGGCAGTAACATTTTGTCTACTCTCTCCTTTTGTAACATTGGTTATTGATAAAGAACAGAAGAAGCTGGTGAGATGCATAGAAAACACAGAGGTGATGGAAGACTTGGAGATAGTAAAATAAAATATTGCTAAGGCCAAGTAGGACCATTGCAGAGGCAAATACCAACTTTGAGCTAAGATTAAAGTTTACTGATTAGGGGAAACACCTGTCCCACAGCTCATGGGAAAAGTATTTTATAGGAAGAGAGTAAAAGGTAGAGCCAGGAGGTTACAGCAGGCTAAGGACCCAGGGAACCAGTAGGCATCTCTACTTTAAGTATTTTCACATTGTAACATACAGCACTGTAGATGTGAGGTTTCAAACCTTGTGATTGGGTAATTTTTATGTGATGAAGTTAAATAGTATCCTTTTGTCTCGATATAGAATCCTACAGATTTTTAGAGAGAAGACTAAATGAATTATATATTGTTTTTTCTTCTGGTGTTTGGTAAAAGAAAGGATGTTACAAAATAATAATTCTAATTACTGATGAAAAATAAAGAGTTCTTCTATAGTTTAAAACCTTGCTATTTTTTCTCCTTTTGGAAATCATGCTATGTTTCCTTTTTTGGACTCTGTACTGAGAGTAATTCACTGAAAATACATTAAGAAAATGATTTTCAAGGTATTGTTTTTGTGTGTATGATGTATGTGCTCTACCATTTTTATTTTATTTATTATTTTAACATAAGAGCTTTTACTAATATGCAACCAGCAAACCCCAGTGATTCTCCTGTCTCCACTCCTTATCATGCTGGGATTCCAGGTCTGTGGAGCCACACCTAGCTTTTTTCTTTCTTTTTTTTTTTTCGAGACAGGGTTTCTCTGTGAAGCATTGTGCCTTTCCTGCAACTCGCTTTGGAGACCAGGCTGGCTTTGAACTCACAGAGATCCACCTGGCTCTGCCTCCTGAGTGCTGGGATTAAAGGCGTGCGCCATCACTGCCCGGCCTTTCTTTTTTTTTTTTTTTACATGGGTTCTAGGGATTAGAACTCAGATCTTTTCTTGGACATCAAGTACCCCTACCTAGGGTAATCTTAATATAATTGAGCCATACTCAGTTACAATAGTTTGGCATTATGTAATTTCCAACATTTGTATATAAAGAAAGGTTGGTAAATTTATGAAACACAGGCTTAGCATGCAAACAGGATTTCAATCCTAATACTGCCACTTGAGTGCACACATACACACACACACACACACACACACACACACACACACACACACACACACCACACCACACCACACTGGAGGGAAGGGGGAGAAAAAGGAAGGAAGAAACTAAGGAAGGAGAAAGAAGAAAAACATTATTTCAATTACTATTGATTCTCATTCATATATATTGAAGTAGCAGTAAAGACCATTAAGGAAAAAACTCCTTTTAGTCAAGAGAATAGTAACTCTGGTCTTGGTGGAGACCTAACATCCTACTTGGGCTGATCAATCACCTGGCTAAGGAACTACCCACCCTAGGGCAGTGGGCTCACCTTAAGCCAAGCTAAAGAGATAGGTGTGAAGGGTCCAGAAATACAGAAATATAAAATTGTAAACTTAAAAAAATTAAAAGCTGACAGTCATCAGCTCTAAAGACTGACTGCTAACAATGGCTCCCTGCTTTACAGCCAGCTCCTCTGTCAACCAACAACTGCCTGGACCAAAGTTAATTTTAATAGTTATTTCTACGTGACTTCTAGCATGCATCCCATGCCTGATGTTTCTACGTGACTCCTAGTGTGCACCCTGTTCCTGCTACAATAAAAAGGGCTTATAACTCCCCTCAACTGTCACAGCCTCAGAATCCTGAACATTGGCTGTGGTCTCAGCTAGCTGATAATCGTTTGTGCCCCATGGTGATTTTTTTTTTTCTGGAATAAAGTTTGCTTCTGGTTTAATAGACTTTGGTGGTCTGTCCCCCATTATTGGGAGACCCTGGACACAACAGGTGATGTTAGGTTTCAAATGGGGACAAACATCTCTGAGATGCCTACTTAACACATAAAAAGCAGACCTGGCCTCCAACTTCTTCCTGCATTCCTCAGTCCCTCAGTTCTCCTGGCTGGCATACCCCACCCCCTATGCTGGGATGCTCTTGCTATATAATCCAACCATTTTTGTTACCTGTCCCCTCTTTGTATTTTGGTCCTCTTTGCTGCTTCACATATTCCCCTCTCTCTCCTCTCCCTGTCCCTCCTCTTCCCCCCAACATGTCACAGCTCAGTCTAGACATGTTCACTCTGGACTCACAAAGATATCTCTTTCCCTGCCTCTGGCTATACTCTCCCATATATCAATAATAAACCTTTTTCTCCACCATACCTAGGAGCTGTCATTTCTTTTCTTTTTAAATTTCTTTTCTTCATTCAGATGGGATGGTTTTTCCTTTAATGATAAACTGTACTTTTCTTTCTAGAATCTCTACCCCCTAGAACAGTATATATAATATAGCTTCATAAATTGGTCCACTTTTCTAAGTTATTTAGAAATTGTTACTTCTTTGCTTCTTTCTACTTTCTTTTTTTTTACACTCAGACTACATTGACCCCTTTTACTCTTCCATAGGAAGCGAACAATGATCATCAATGGCAAGTAGCAGTTGCAGAAAGCAACACTAAGGGCTGACTTTATGCTCAGGAGAGAATGCTAAGTCTCTTCATGGTTTCTGGTGCTCTATGGAGTCAGAGAAACTTCTCTAGTAATGAACTATAGAAACGATCCCTTTTCTTTCTACTTTCTAAGTATGTTTTCACTTAGTGTTTCTCTGGATCCCCTTCCCCCACTGTGCATGCCATGTGACTGCTTGTCTACCCTGAGTCTGACATCCATGCTGGCTTACAGGGCTTGTGGTTCCCCCTTTCTCTTCTCCATTCTCTTTTACTTGGCAATGGTTGAGATTTATAGCTTGGCTACCCTGAGATTTTTTTCTTCTAAACTCTAACAAAATTGTCCTTGAGCTTCCATTTGAGTCCATTCTTAAATTATTTCATTAACAAAACTAGGGAACAGTTGCAGTCTCTGAGGGTGGGTGGGAATTGGGGGAGGTAGGGCTTGGGTTACAGGGTCTGATGGGGGATGGTGGTAGTCTGACCTGTCTGCAGGTCTGCCTCTGGCAACTGGCCTGAAACTGGGACTGCAATGGGTGGTGGTGTAGGGGCGTAGGGTTGTGGCCCTGGGCCCAAAGCCTAGGGGCTGGGGTGTTCGGGTATGAGGATAAAGACTCACCTATTAGTCCAATAGGGTGCTGGTGGACTCTGTCTCAGGGAACAGTTGCAGTCTACAGATTCAATGCAATCCACATCAAAATCCCAACACAATTCTTCACAGACTTGGAAAGAACAATACTTAACTTTATATGGAAAAACAAAAAACCTAGGATAGCTAAAAGAATCATGTATAATAAAGCAACCTCTGGAGGCATCACTATCTCTGACCTCAAGCTCTGCTATAGAGCTATAGTAATAAAAAACAGCTTGGTACTGGCATAAAAACCAACATGTGGACCAATGGAATCGAATTGAATACCCTGACATTAAGCCACATACCTATGAATGTACGATTTTTGACAAAGAAGCCAAAACAGTACTGTGGAAAAAAGAAAGCACCTTCAACAAATGGTGCTGGCATAACTGGATGTCACCATGCAGAATATTGCAAAAAGATCCATAACTCTCGCCATGCACAAAACTCAAGTCCAAGTGGATCAAAGACCTCAACATAAATCCAGTTACACTTGAACCTGATAGAAGAGAAAGTAGAAAGTAGTCTTGAACGAATCAGCACAGGAGACCACTTCCTAAATATAACACCAGTAGCACAGACACTGAGAGCAACAATTAATAAATGGCACCTCCTGAAACTGAGAAGCTTTTGTAGTGAAAAGGACACAGTCAATAAGACAAAACGACAGCCTACAGAATGGGAAAAGATCTTCACCAACCCCACATCTGACAGAGAGCTGATCTCCAAAATATATAAAGAACTCAAAAACCTAGACTTCAAAATACTGAACAATCCAATTAAAAAATGGGCTACAGAGCTTAACAGAGAATTCTCAACAGAAGAATTTCAGATGACTGAAAGACATTTAAAGAATTGTTCAACATTTTTAGTCATCAGGGAAATGAAAATCAAACAACTCTGAGATACCTAATCTTACACCTGTCAAAATTGCTAAGAAGACTCTTATGTTGGAGAGGATGTGGAGCAAGGGGAATACTCCTCCACTGTTTGTGGGAATGTAAACTTGTACAGCCACTCTGGAAATCAGTATGGTGATTTCTCAGAAAATTGGGAATCAATCTTCCTCAAGACCCAGTTATACCACTCTTGGGCATATGCCCAAGGAATGCTCATTCTTACCAGAAGGACACATGCTCAACTATGTTCATAGCAGCATTATTTGTAATAGCAAGAACCTGGAAACAACCTAGATGCCCCTCAACTGAAGAATGGATAAGAAAATGTGGCACATATATACAATGGAGTACTACTCAACAGTAAAAAACAAGGATATCATGAAATGTGCAAGCAAATAGATGGAACTATAAAATAGCATCTTGAGTGAGGTAACCCAAACTCAGAAGGACAAACATAGTATGTACTCACTCATATGTGGATACTAGATGTGAGGGAAGGGATGTCCAGACTGCAATCCACAGCTCCACAGGCTACCTAACATGGAAAGACTCTAGGAGGGACATATGGATGACCCAGCAAAGGAGAAGTGGATGAGATCTACATGAGTGGACTGGGTGTGGGGGATTGGTGGAGGACAAGGAGTAGGGGATGAGAACATAGGGAAATGGGAGTGTCGACCTGAAACAGGGACAGAGTGGGAGGGTAGGGAGGGATAGATTAGGATATCTATTCCATGATAGATTAGGATATCATGGGAATAGGAAGAGGCAGGGTGCTGGGGAGGCTCTCAGGAATCCACAAGGATGACTTTGGCCTGCTGGCCGTGGTCCAGAGAGTACCTGGACTGGTCTACTCTGGTGACCAGTCTAGTGAACACCCTAACTGTTGTCATAGAGCCTTTGTCCAGTGACTGATGGAGGCAGATGCAGAGACCCATGGCCAGGCACCAGGCTGAGCTCTGGGAATCCAATTGATGAGAAAGAGAGGAGGGATTCTGTAGGTGAGGCATGTCGAGATCATGATGGGAAGACATGCAGAGATGACCAGCCACACTAGTGGAATCCCATGAACTGTAGACTAGTGGCTGTGGATCCCCCATGGGACTGGACTAGGCCCTTTGGATATGGAAGACAGTTGTTTGGCTTGAATTGTTTGCGGGGCACCCTGGCAGGGGGATCAGGATCCATCCCTTGTGCATGGGCAGGCTTTTGGGAATCTGGTGCCTATGGTGTGATGCCTTGCACAGCCTTGGTGCAGTGGGAAGGGACTTGGACCTGCCTAGGCTCAGTTTGCCAGGCTCTACTGACTCCCCACAGGATACCTTGATTTGGGAAATGTGGGGATGTGGGGTGGCTTGGGAGAGAGGGCTGGGGGGTGGGAGGAGGGAGGAAGGAAGAGGAAGGAGGTGGGATCTGTGGGTGGAATATAGAGTGATTTGAAAAATTCTTACAAAAAAATGAAAAAAAGAAAAAGAAAAAGAAACCCAGAATGTCAGAGTTCCACTAATCAGGAGTTGTCAGTGGTGGATCAAAAGAACTAAATAATGAAAGAAAATTTTATACACTTAGTAATAAGAAGGCGATTATTATGTATGATTTTATCTTAATTGGTTTGAGAATTAATTGGGTGATAACCAAAGTTACCATAATGCTCTTCATTTGAACAGAACATTAAAAATCCCAAAAGGTTTGGACTTTTTGATAACCACTTTCCTGGATTAACTCCTAGCAGTAAAATCAAAAGAGATTTATATATCTGAAAATTGAGTTAATGGTAATGAGTAGTGTATGCCACTTAGCTCGGCACATTTAAACTTTTCAAAACACATGTCTTTGGATATAAGGGTAGGCAATTTCTGACTATGTTTTTATCTCACTTAAAACAATATTAGAAGAGATTCGATGATGTAGTATTTATCACTTTCTGCCCTATCACTTTCTGTGTGTATGTGTGTGTGTGTGTGTGTGTGTGTGTGTGTGTGTGTGTGTGTGTGTGTGTATTTTCATATTAACACTCTGTAGTACTGAGATAAAATAAGCTCAAATTAAAAATAAGAACAATACCAAGCTAATGGGAACTCATGAACTTTAGACCAACAGCTGTGGAACCTCCATGGGACTGGGCTAGGCCCTCAGCATAAGTGAGACAGTTGTGTAGCTTGCTTGGTTTGCTTAAGGGCCCCCCTGGCAGTGGGATCAGGATCTATTCCTGGTACATGAGCTGGAGTTTTGGAGCCCATTACTTATGGTAGGATACCTTGCACAGCTTTGAGGCAGGCAGAGGGACTTGGACTTGCCCCAACTGAATGTACCAGGCTTTGCTGACTGCCCATGGGAAGCCCTATCTTTTCAAAGGAGGGAATGGGGAGTGGGTTGGGGGAGAAGCAGGAGGGCAGAAGGAGGGATGAGAGGGGGATATTTGGTTGGTATGTAAAATGAGTAAAAAAATTTCTCAATAAAGAAAAAAATAAGAGCAACAACAACAAAAAAACCTAGGAACTCTAAAAGAGAACCTAGATTTCCTCTGTATCATATACACTAATTATGTGGATAAGCAGGTTTACTAAACGTAAAGAGCTTTCAGCTGAAACAGCCTCACATCACTGTAGCTTCTTGACCAGACAAAGATATCTTCTCCAGCAAAGCATGCAATTGTAGCAAATGACCCATGATAGGAGCTAATATTAAAAGTTAACCAGAGATAATTTTTTCTTAAAAAATTTTCTTTCCTTTTACATACCAAGCTCTGTTTTCCCTCCCTCCCCTTCTCCCTATTCCCTTTACATACACCCATTCTACCCCCAACTCCTCCTCATAGAGGGTAAGGCCTTCTTTGGGTAGTCAACACAGGCTGGCATACCAAGATGGGGCAGGACCTAGATCCTCCTCCCTGCATCAAGGCATCCCACCATAGGGAAGGGGCTTTAAAAAGCCAGTTCACATACCCCAGATAAGTCCTGGTCCCATTGCCAGGGGCCCCAGAAACACATCAAGCCACATAAAACTTTCACTCACATTCAGAGGGCCTAGTATAGTCCCATACAGACTCCCCAACTGTCAGTCCAGAGTCCATGAGGTCCCATTAGCTTGGTCCAGCTAGCTGTCTCTGTGGGTTTTCCCATCATGATCCTGACCCCTCCTTGCTATTATAGTCCTTCCTACCTCTCTTCAACTGAACTCCAGGATCTTGGCCAAGTGTTTGGCTATGGGTCTCAACCAGAGACAATTTAAATCACTTTTGATGGTTCAAAATAAGAATAAACTATTTTTGGTAGGTGACAAAATCAAAATGCTTCCTTTAGAAAAGTCAAGATGTGGAATTGAAGACAAAATGTAGGAGTAAGTAAACAGATTGAGAACAGCAAAATAAATGAAGAATTGTGTGAGACAAAAGCAGGAAAAGGCAGATGTGACAAAAAAGAGCTGCAGATCATGGGAATGACAATGTCTTAAGTGGAGCAGAATAGCATATCTCTACAAAGAGACCTCCGGAGACAAAGATGGAGACCAGCAGCTTGTAGTTAAGACAGTAACTACAGATATTTAGTTAGAGTGAAGATACAATAATGTAAGATTTCTTTGGAGTCTTCTAGC